TTTTCATAAAGATTCGTGTCTACATTATTTTACAACTGACGCTTTGAACTGATATCGAAATTTCCGATTGTGTAACCTATTATGATTATATGAGTAAGCAATAATAAATAAAATTATGGTGTGAATATTAAAAGACAATAATAATAAACTCTTGCAAGCTAAATACAAAAAAGTAAAATATTCTTGAAAAACTGCTAATGCTACCATAAAAATTCTAGTAAACTATCAACGTCTGTTATGATTTATATTTGAGGTCGTGAAAGGTTTGTTTGTTTGAAGTTAAGTACAAAGCTACACAAAGGGCTATCTGTGCTCTGCCCACCACAGTTATTGAAACCCGGTTTCTAGCGTATTAAGTCCGCAGATATACCGTTGTTCCACTAGGGGCGTCGTGAAAGGATAGATGTAAACTTTTTGAAAAATTACTACTTTCTTTTAATATAATTTCAGTAACTTCGTTTACGAATAGAGATCATACTATATACTTTTAAACTATGCAATTGTTTTGTGAAACAAATAAAATAAAAACGAGTTCTATAAAACTTTTTTAAAAGGAAACAAACAAAAAATATAAATTCTCGACTTTTATTAATAGCTACAACTCTAGGTATTTTCTTTAGATAAGTTGTACATGAATTTGAGGTTACGTTTTGTTTGTGTGTATGCGTGTTATAACGTAAAAACGAAGATTGGGCTCTCTATACTGTGCCCACCGCAGGAATCAGACCCCAAAATTATGGTTTTAAGCTCTCAAGCTTATCAATGAATCACTGGAGATACTTGTGATTTAGTTACATTGTAGGAAAGGCATTGATATATATATATATATATATATATATATATTATGCCTCTTGTAAACCAAACCATCAATTAATTTACTATTTTATTTTAATATTCGTATTATTATGTAATTAAAGGTATAAATCTAATTATATTTTCGGGTTTTATTTCCTGTTATATACTTATTTATTTTTATAGGGGGATACTACATTTAATAATTTTGTCACGAATAAAGTACCACTGATATAGCATAGTTAATTACAATATTTTGTTTAAATCGATCAAATGGACTATAAACCTCGTCTCTAAACGCTACAATTTTGCATTTCATCTTAGTATAACATAAAATGTAGATTCAAATATTTGACAGCAAACAAAAAGTTTCAAGCAAATTCTTAATTTTCACGGAAAAAAGCTTCATAGTTTTTTTGACATTGCTTTTGTTTTTCGAATTTCAAATTTCTTAAAGATGTCTGTCACTACCTTACTCACTGTGAACAATTACATAATTCTATACTAACTACAATGTAAATGTAAAATCATTAAAGTAACTGTTTATTGATTGTAACGAATTTGTTGTTATTTATTTATTTTAATATAGACGTTGTTTAGACTGAGTTTATATTTAGAAACATACATAGCTTATACTGTTAGATAGGTATTGCGACACTCTCGCCTATTCTCCAAAGTTGTAGAAGATTCTCCAGAGTAAAAATCAACAATATATCTATACAGTAAACGCTTTAACCAGTACTGTTACGAAAAACTGAAATTTCTAGAACGCCTCCATACGGCTATAAATATAACCAACGCGACACGCCAAAGAGAGTGTCTATTATTAGTTTGCTATAATCGATGTGCTATAAAATTTGGAAATCCATAACTGTGATTTTTATAACGCTTATCAATAGGAGAACTAAAGATATTTAACCAGGAATATTTATTAATTTCGAACGTTACAAATCGTTTAACTTCAGTGGATTCACATCGGACATTAGTATTTTTTACGAAAACATTACCAACTTCAACGGTGGAAACCTAGCGTGTGTGGCCAAAGACAAAGCTAGCTAGCTTCCCGGCGAATCGTACTTACATCAACTTACATCGTGAACCCTCGATAAGATATCAAGGAAGTTCCAGACTAGAAAGAAAACTTTATACTGTTAGTAAGTTTGTGAAACTTCTGTTTATAAATCATTGTTTGTAATAACTATTTGTAATAATTGTTACTGTAAATTGTATTGTTGTGTGTATATTAAAACGTATTTGTGTTAAAAACGAAGACGGTGTGTATCAATCTTGTTGGCAAATATCGTAAAATGACTAATATATTGTCATATATTTAAATACTAAATCCAAAGTAAAATTTAACTACTAAATTTAAATTATCAGTTAACTCGGCTTCGGACTATTCGAAATTCTAATACGTAACATCATGAGTGTTCATAACGGCTAAGCAGTGAAATTGGATAATTCCTGAGCGCATTTATCTACATTCTCTGTAACCGAAGTTTAATTTTCTGAAGTATTGTATGACGTCAAAAGAATACGTAGATTGATTTTTTTTTATCAAGTTAAAATCAAACAGATATAATGGTTTTGTTATTTTACTCAATGACGCTATTTTGAAATTTTGGTCTTTGACCAATTAATACAAATTGGAAAACAGTGAGTGATGACTTAATATTAGTTTCCAATTTATCTTGTAGCTACAAATTATAAACGTTCATTGTTTGTTTGTAATTAAGCACAAAGCTGCACAATAGGCTATCTGTGCTCTGCCCACCACGGGTATCGAAACCCGGACTCTAGCGTTGTAAGTCCGCAGATATACCGCTGTGCCACTGGGGAATTTATAAATGTTCATAAATACCAGCAATAGTGACACACTACTTCAGCAGACAGGACGTCTCTAAAAATACGTCACTTATAAGAAAAATATAACTTGTCAAATATTACCCACACTTTAACTACATTTCTTGAGTTTACTTCAATAAATGATTTCTTAAACATCTTCTAGTGCTACAGCAAAATAAAATTCAAATTAAACATTCTTCTGACGCTTTTCCAAATGTTCGTGGTAGGAAGTTCTTAAGAAATCGTTAAGCTAAAGTTACGAAAAAAATTGTCATAAATCTTTTTCGAAGCCATCTTAAACATTTCCAAACTGAGGTTATTTTAGACAATATGATCAAAAGATTATAAAAGCTTGTACAAAACAAATATTTTTCAAATGAATTTTTAATCGATGTCTTTTGAACATAAAGCGTGAACTTCAAAAATTAAACAGTTATAATGGTTTTATATCTATTCTTCTAACGTTAAATAGTTATGTTATCATTTTTCTTTTGCCCAGTGATGTTGTTTTGAAATTTTGGGCTTGCAAATTGGAAAACAGAACATAAGCCATCACTTAATATCCGATTACGGTTTTACTTGTAGCTACAAATTATAAATGTTCATAAATAGTGACATTTACACTAATTCAGAAGAATTGTATTTTTTAAATCAAACTTACTCCTTTAGGAATAAATTGGAACAAATGTCTTTATAAGTACTGTATATATCAGCTTACTATTTAAATAGTGTATTTGGAGTAATTTTTAAAGAATAAAATTAAGAGTTTCGTGTACTTGCTGGAATATAATAAAGAAATAAATATTAAGACCCTCACAAATTACAACTGTAATATACTTTTAAACAATTATAAACAAGTTCCTGCAATAGTTAAAAGAAATAACACTGGTACTAACGAAATTCTACAGAAACGAACACGAATATGTAAAACTCGCTTAACAAGATTAAAGGTATTAACAATGTTGTGATCATTCAACTTACAAGTTAAAATACTTCAACGATTATTTGGTATACCAACAAAAACTTACTCAGGAATTATTTTAAATAAAGATAATTAATTTTAGACAGAACTTCCTCTGCACTGATATAATTAACAATAGTTTAAACTCAAAATTATTGTTATCAAACATCTTAACTGTATTAAATACTGAAATACTGTTCTTTCTTCGTGTATTTAACTATACATGTTGTCTCCGATATGTATTATAAATGTAACAAATTTATATAAGTGAGTAAGTGTCATATGTCGAAAAGGTGCATACTAGATAAATTTACTAGGTTAAGGACTACATTAAAGCGATTTTTATGTTACATATAAAAAATCTCCTGGCAATCTAATTATCTGTAATTGATATATCACATCATAATAATTTAAAAAGTTACAGACACTCATTTACACACACACGTATTTCTTCATATATATATATCATTCTAAAATATGGGTTTCAATTTACAATAATAGCCAAAATCTTGTATGACAAGTCATTGTTAATTTGGCATTTATTGACATTGTACTTATCACTTATCCTCCATTTAAATCTTAATGGACTAGCTTGATATATCGAAAACTTATGGCAAATAAATGATTTTTGAGAATTCGAAATTCTTTAAGAAAAATACCAAATTTATAACATTGGATAACATTTAAAAAAATAATTTTACAATATAATACTAATACGTATAGTTATTGTTTCTGCTGTTGAATTTCGCGCAAAGCTATTCTGGGACTGTCTGCACTAGCCGTCTCTAATTTTCAAGTGACCGACTAGAGGGAAGACAGCTAGGCAACTCTTGGAGTCCTCTTTACCTACGAATAGTACGATTCACTATAAAAGAATAGCATGCCCTCGGAAGTAAATCTTTTTTTTTTTTAATACAAACATATTTTTGATAACACTTGTTTTATGCATTATTGGTTATTTCTTTAGTATTTTCTTAAAGATAAAAGTTTACTATTTGGTATTTGTTTCATACATTATTACTAGATAAAACCTTTCAATTAGTAAAACACTTGCACTCAGTTTAATATTATACCTTATACGAAGACAAACGTTGTGTACACTTTTTCTATCTAAATATTTTGGACGATGAAATATAATTAACTGCTATAAGTGATCAGTTTAATCTGCAAGGGACAACATATTCTAAAATATATTATAGATATTTAGAAAAATAATTTTCCCTGCACCTAATTTTGTAAAGTTCAATAAGGTCTCTTATACACAAATACGAATGTATATATACAGAGAGAAAGTTGGTGAGTTGACAGAGGCATGCTGTCTAAACGTCTAGATAATTCTTATCTTTCAACATTGGAAATCCTTTAACACTAATTCTAATGAAATTAACTTTGAATTACTTACTTGTCCCATAAGTATAAGAACCAGACAGAACTTGCAGAAACAACAGTATAATCTCCGTTTTGTGTACATTAACAATCATCATTACTGTCTCAATCTAAGAGAAATGCTTTAAAACGTTCTTTAGAAGAAATCTTATTTCATATTTCCAAATGCTGTTTGACGGGATTTTGCCATAAACCAGAAGTGGGAGCTTAACCATGAACTCTTTCCATCTGTGTTCACAAACTCCCAGCGTACTAAGCAGAATATATCGACTGAGGGAGTTTCACAAACCCATCACTTGCTAGCAGTCTGGCGGAATGCCAAGTGATGGAAGCAAGGCGACACCTACGGAAGCTCCTGAGGTTTGACGTCAGTCTGTAACATCCCGCAAGGTGCTACTTCATCGAAAGAAATAAGATACGATGCTCATATTTATCCCCTTCTTTCATTATTTTCGAATTTTACTAACGTCACGTTCTTGGTAGGCTATTGTCAACTAATCTCGTCACAGTTAAGCTGAGAGTAAGTAAAAAAAAGGGATATACTCAAAACAACTTTAAAAATATATCCTTTGCTAAGTACCATCAGAGCAATTTGTAATTTTGTCGACTTTTTTCGTTATATTTATGTACTTTTATAGAAACAAAGATAAATGAATCACATGAAAAATACAAAACAAAAAACGCCCTTGAACTCCTTAAATACCAAAGTGTTTTATTATTATTGAATCATAATAGTAACATGACTAAATAGGCTGATTAGTTTATATGAAAATGGCTTAAAGCCTCACCACGAAGCTATAGTCAGCCCATGTTATCACGTCCGGTCGTACTGTATCTGAAAACCATACATCTTGACAATTGCCCCGCAGCGTAGTTTTCACTGCTTTGTAACGATCGTGATATCCTCGCACTTCGCTTATTAAGGTTGTATTTATTTCAAACAGGAATTAACTCATAACAAATTCCTGTTTATTATTATATTAATAATGCATAAAATAGGTTATGTTTCTTACTAACAGCATAGTACTTCTTTCCTCACCCCTCTCCTGGTTTACTCAGTTACTCTCACATCCCCCCAGTCTCTTTTCTTTTCGCACAACTCTTGTTTTTTATATTTCTTTTTCAAAATTACATTAACATGTCCTTATCTGCTCGACATTGTACGCCTGTTTCCGTAATAAGGATTATAACGCTCCTAATCAAAGAGTCTTCCATAAACTCCACTATTAGACACAAAAGGTGGATGATCCCTCCAATATTTCTCCAACCACTTAGTGCAGTAATCCCCTAATTCCTTAAGGACTGATCAACAGTTGGCTGTTTTCCCACCTTTCTCTTAACCCTACCAATCTTCAAAACACTATGCTATGGTTGAAGGGATATGTTGTAGAGGCAACATTTCAAAACGTTCACATTATTTTTGTTTCTATAAATCCCTACAATAAAGCTTTCACAGTCTTTTATGCGTTTTTTCCATACACAATTAATCGAGAAATATCCTCCGTCTCCCCTTTTCTGCCTATACAGTTCAGCGTTCGAACCACTAAATTCACAACATCTTATCCTTCTATTCATCGTCAACTTGAATTATCTCTGCTAATGTCTATCTTCTAACTCTAGCTCTAAATATTTTTTTCAGCTCTGATTTCCAGCCGTTTATTTTCAGCTTCCATGTGTTTCATTGTGAGATAGCGAATTCCGTTTTTGTGTTGTTTTATTTATCGTTCATGTATTATTTCTTCTGTTATTTAGTTTATCTATGAATGTTTAGTTACATTTAAAACTCTAACTCTCCTTCTAAATGATCACTTTTATTTTGAGAGACATCAGTTTCTCCTAGCGGTAATGTACAGATATAATCAATGTTGCACAGGAGTATGTAACTTATGTAAAGATATTATGCACAAGAGTATGTAACTTACGATCGAATTATTTGTAACCTCGTGATCTAACAAGTGAATAAAAAACCCAACATTGAGCTGTAACAAATTAGTTCATAAGATATAACTTAATAGTATTATTGCTGGTTATTACTCGATGTTGTTAGTGATCTTGTAGTTTAAATACGACAGAATATTGTTATCTTGGAATTAGTTGTTGTTTTTTTGCAAACCTGTTTCTATTTCTTATTCCTTTGTATATTTATTGAAATACTTATTAACATGGATTTATATATTGTATTGTTCATTAACGTTAGTTTAATGTCCTGGCCAGGCCAATATTTCTCTACAGTGTTTAGATAAGTTATCGAGTTTGTAGCTCAATAGTTTCAAAGTCACACTTTGGATTTGTGGTTATCCAAATATAATAAATTAGTTTTTGTTTTTTGTTTTGGTTGAATCCTGTTACTTTAGACAGCTAAATCATTTCTAACTGTACCTTAGCGAGTTCTAAATTGTTACCACGACAACCATCGCGAACATCACTAACAGCTCCCACGTTTTCACTAAGCTCAAAGTTAGAACAAATCATCTATTGTGACTTCCCCTCAATAAAAAATCTTTACGTATCTTTTTTTTTCAATTGCTATTACATGTTATACCCAGTTCTACATGTTTATTTACCAGCTGACTTTTTGTTAATGATTTCCAATTCTAATCAGTGATAGCGTTAATTTTCTATTCTTAAAGATTAAATATATAATTTATAATCAGTAGGAATTACCTAAATTGCAGTCTAATCCAAAAGAGGCAGGATAAAATCAAAAAGGAAACTTACTCTTATTCCCGACTTCACTCCTTGACTTTTATTGATGCTCTTATTTCGCTAGAAATCGATGAATCCCACTTCTGATACCACGTTGTTGTAGATCCGTTTCTTACTCCACTTTGTAACGATTGTGCTATGTTTCGCTTCATTTTTCCTACAACTGTATTACGGTTATACGTATTCCTTTCAAGAGTTGATTAACAGTAATGAAAACACACCCATTTTCTCTTTGTTATTATATCAATAATATAATATTGGCCAAAATATTTGCATAATGTTCCATATTGATGTTCTTGTCTACGTGCATTGAGTAGTTATTAAATAAATGCGCGAGTAGTAACAGATAAGGTAAGGTATGACTGGACAAACATGTAAGAGTTGTTATTCTGGTCTGTAAAAGTTGTTTTGAGCATCTGTTCGTCAAAACACATATGCGCACCTGTTTTGTATAAAAGAGTGTGCTTTTGGTATAATATGTTTTTCGAAACGGATCAACGCTTTATTCAGATAATTTCTCTGTACTTGATGTAGAGTCATGCCTCGTCACGTGCGGTAAGTTATAGGCTGTCAAATTGTACGACTATCCAGAGATGGTATGAAGCAAACGGACATTACCAGAATAGTAGAGTACCCCCATTGTGCTGTATCTGGAATCCTCAATCGTCATAGGACTAAAAGAAACGTTAGTTTAGGAAAATGTACTGATAGACGCCTGAAACTACTGACAGAGATGACTGTGTTTTATTTAGGTTAACACGTTAATCTCAAAAGAAGTCTTCTAGCATTTGACGACAGGAATGACATGAACACATTCATTCCAGCATATCCAGTAGAACAGTGAATAGGAAGCTGACCAAACGATGTTATTTTAGAGAAAAAGAATTACCCAGAATACATAACCTTCTCTGTGTTACTTGGACAAGACAGCATGCCAGCCTACAATTAGGAGACTGACGACATCTTTTCAGACAGTCCTGTTTCCGGCTTGTTAAAACTGATGGTGGGGTTCGTGTTCGTCGTTTACCTGGCAAATATATTAGGGAAGACTGTCTTTCCAGCAGGGGACACACAGAGGATGGCACAGTACATGTTTGGGCAGATATTCATCATGATGGAAAAACTGCTCTTCATATCCCACAAGGAAACGTCAATGGCGCCTCCTACAGGCATCACATAGAGACGATATTTCTGCCATATGCTACGGCAAGGTTTAGCAATAAATTTGTGTTCCAGGATGACAATGCCACTACCCACAGTGCGAGTATTGTACAGTTTGTTTGTTTTGAAATTAAGCACAAAGCTACACAAAGGGCTATCTGTGCTCTGCCCACCACGGGTATCGAAACCCGGTTTCTAGCGTTGTAAGTCCACAGACATACCGCTGTGCTACTGGGGGGCGTATTGTACAGAATTATCTCGATTAGAATGTTTCAATATTTCCAGCTTGTAATCCCATTGAGAACCGTTGGGCAGAACTGAGCCGGAAAGTTGTTATCCACGACCCTAAGACAGTTACTATAGCTGAGTTGCAGCACCTTTAGGTGACAAGTTAGGATAAATTCACAGTAGATTATATTAATAACCTTATCGATAACATACATGCCAGGGCGCCTTGTGGAGGCTATTAAAGTACTAGGAGGACCAACCAAGTACTGAATGTTTAATGTGAACAGATATATGGTTACAGACGCTATTTGTAATAATTTAAATATTATATGAATATAATAATTTAGCTTAGATAGAGGGTGAAACAGAAATTACCAGCCAATAGTACATGAGCATTAGATGATTGTAGCATGTAGAATATTCAATGCTTTGTACACTATACAATCCGTGTCTTTAGGAAGCCAACCCATCTGTTATGTACAAAATGAAGGACTAAAGCTAAAGCAATACACATGATATTAAATTTAATTACATACATTCATTAAATACACTAACTTTCCGTTAGGGGAACAAAACGCCACAAAACAAGTGATAAAAACATTTTTAAATGTAAAATAATGCTGGAGTGACAGTGCGAAAAATAATGTAAACAGGAATATATGGATGATACAGCTACATATAAACCATTCCTACATGACTTTCAATATAAAAATGTAATGTTACACTGTAAAATGCATACTTGACTTTAATATTACTGCAGTTGGAAGTTATATATTCCTGACTATTGGTATAAAGTTTGTTTATCATAATGTCATGGTCATGCCAGGGTAGGCATAAATGTAATGTAACTAAGAGCCTAGGATTTACGTATAAGGAAAACCAAGTTGAGTCAAAACATGTCTTGATTATTAGAGACTATTGCAGGCTATCGCTACGTGCTCAGTCGAATTGACTGACCTCGTAACCATTTTATACTCGTGCAATTTACAGTGTAACATATATACCCTATATATACCTGTTTGCATTCCTTTTGACACTGACTTCTCTACACCATTTGCATTTACAAAATTTTTTTCTTACTTATAATAATTGAATTTAAAATGATAAAGTGTAATAGCTTTAAGACTTAGTAGGATATTGTTTTTTGAAATATAATTATAAAAAATTTTAAGGGTTTCCTTAATGCACTCTAAAAATAGAGA